AAAAGTTTCAAGCAAACCAACTTGGTAACAGGTTATGTCTTGTTATGATTGTATCACTAAATTATTTATAATATTGAAAAAAAATTAAATATATATATCTGTTCGGTTCGGTTCGGTTTGGTTCGGTTTCCGAACCTTAAAAACCGAAACCGAACCAGCCAGATTCGGTTCGGTTCGGTTTGGCAGTTTCGGTTCGGTTTTTTTTCGGTTCGGTTTTTTTCGGCCTCGGTTCGGTTTGGTTTTCGGTTATTTGAACCCACCCCTATCGACCGATGGATGTGAAAGATTTGAGATTAATTAAGGACGAAGGATTAGGGAAGAATGAATACCAGAAATGACAGAAACAAGAAAGAAGAGGAGAGGGAAGGGAAGACGAGGGAAAAGAAGACATGGCTGCTCTCCCAAGTCCAAGGATCCTGCGAAATCTGAAATCGCGGCCTATTCTTCTTCAACCTACTAAATCTGAAGTCGTGAACCCTGTTTTTTTGGAGTTTCATTTCGTTTAGGTATAAGAGGATTATATAATCTTATTAGTTTGCTACGGTTAGATTAATACGATGGCTCATATAAAAGGGGTCCTCACAAGTCCTGCAAAAGAGGAACTTAGATAGCAACTCTGTAAATTTGTGTGCATTATCTTTTTGTCGATGTGATATCAAGTTTTGATACATCGTATCTGGTTTTATTTTTTCGCACTTGTTTGACAATGACTTATCCTTATCTTTACATTAATTACTTAACGTTGAAAGGAATCTATACGAATGAATTGAAATGGATATTACACGCGGATTAATGCTAGGGAGACTAAATTTTGTAAACTAAATGATATGAAAATTGATGATTGAATTATTACTTAATCATTGATAAACGTGCTTATTTACTATTGATGACACCTAATTTGGTTTGCTAATTTAGTCTACAAATTTAGTATCCATAACATTACTCTTACACTCGTATCTGATTTTGTTTTTTCTCACTTGTTTGACAATGACTCGCTGTTATCTTTACATTAATTGCTTAACATTGAAAGAAATCTATATGAATTAATGGAAATGAATATGACACGCATCATTTGTGAAGAGATTCAATGTACAAAGAAATAAGAAAATAGGAAAGAAAAAATTTGACGAAATTTATTATTAGCATAAGATCCGTAAATAAATAAAACATCTCTAGAAAAAAAAAACGCAACTTTCTCCGTGTCACTCATTTTTTTTATATAGAAATGATTTTTAGACATCCTTATTAGCTTCTTACATAATTAACCCTCTTTTTTATTGAATATTTTTCGAATAATGCCACAAGCTTGTCCATGCTCGCTGGTTTTTCCCAAAGAATCCAAACCGAGGACAATGACAGTAACCGTAAAATCTCAATGCTGCGGCAATACATGAGGAAAAAACTCACAAGAGAAGAAGAGTCGAAAGCAAAAGAGAGAGTCGAGAGCAAGTGCTTTTAGAATCTCAAAAAGACTTTCGAATCCCTACGTTTCATGACGCATCTAAGCATCCTGAAACAGATTTTCAAACCCCAGTGATTTTTTTGATGGTGGTCTAAATAAAACTGCAGGTGAAATGATCTTCACTGCGTTCAAAAGGCTCTCTTTCATTGAGTTTCTGTTTCTTTTATGTGTACACACATGCATATCCAAGGAAAAAAAATGATGCGACTGTGTAGGGTGTAGTAGAGAACAAAGGAATGAAGGAAAGTGAAGAAAACCATCACCTGAAATACATATACAGAAAGGAGGAAAAGCGAATTTGATTATGCTAACAGCAATTGGCTCAAGGTGATACCCATTCTGCTCCGATTATCAATCACTTCATGCTTCTTGGTCCATGGTTTTCCGGACTGATCACAGTAGATCGCATAAGGGGATAATGCGGAGGCTTACCCTGTAGAGCCGACCAGTTAGCATCATGACCCTTTCCTCTATGATCCAGCCGGGAAGTAGCCAGCTGTATTTAGCATTGGTGTGGTCATGGAGGGTCGACGTAAAGGGCTTTGCCCCACGCCTCCTTACCCTCAGAGTCACCTTAGATTCAATAATTTGTGCTGTCGCCAATGACATTGGCGACAAGCAGTTGTTTTCAAATTGATATTCAACTTGAGTTTGAGCAACGTTGTATGCCATTTCTGGCCCGTGACTTCAAGCTTTGTTTTGTTTTTTGTTTTATATTTGTTTTCACTCTTTTTCCTGGGTGAAGACTTGAAGTCCTTAGCAGCCTATGATGATGGTGATATGTACATCTGGTAAATCATCGATTCGATCATTAAAAAATGCATACAAGTCAAATTCTCCAAAGCCCTCATCACATTCCCCTTCACCATGGTCATCAGATGTCTCAAAACCTTGCATCATGTTCTTGATGTAAATAAAAACCTAAAGAAAATATAAATCAATATAGTCTATCTTGTTTGTAAACACATATGAAATGCACTTGTCTTGGGTTCTTTTTATAGATGAAGTGGAAGGATCTTGAACATCGATTTTGAAAATGCAGTGGGCGTAAAACTGTGTGTGCAAAACTATGTGCGCAAAACTGTGTGCGCATTTAAGTGTGATATGCTTTATTTGCCTTTTGTCCTTCAAACCCGTTTAACAATTGTCCATTCTTATCTTTATATTAATTGCTCGATATCAAAAGGAATCTTTACAAATTAACTCAAACATATGTGAGACGTGTTTTGAAATGTGACATTACTATTCATAATTATACATATTATTTTGTTTAATGGCTTCCACATGTGTCTCCTGGCTTTCATTCATCATTCTTCTGCTCGAGCTAGGATGGGAAGGTCGGCGTCATTCTTCATTATATGCGGGCTCTGTTGGGCTTTCACGTGAACTTAAGACCTTGAGTCTAGTTTTTTTCTGACTTGGTTGGCTTACTAGGGAAAAGGAAAAACTAGGTCTGGTCTCTCTCAAACTCACGTATGTGAACTTCAAAGATTGTGAGCTTGGATCTTTGGGCTCTCAAGCATCCCAAAGTCTTTCATAATCTTGACTCCTCGTAGGCTCGATAAATTTTTGTAACCATCCACACCACAATTCACTAGGCAAGCCCCGACGTGTCACTTTAGCTCATTTTAGCGTGCATAGTACGTAGTTAGTGTGATAGAGCTTGTCATGATGAATATGCATGGATTTGTATGGGCTTACCGTGACTTATACAAACGTTTGGTTTATTTATCAGAGTGTGACATGGTTGCGAATATTTTCCTTTCGAGATTCCGCACATTTGCATGCATTTAGGCTTGACTTGGGGCTTGTATCACAATCGGGCCTTGAGATTTAATTGGGTTTGCATATGACATTTTTTTAACCTCAACACATAAGATATTACAAAATTCAAATGTGACTATCAGAAACAAAAAACTACATCTTTAAACGAGACGTTGTGTGAAATATATATCATGGAGCTAGACAAAACAGAAAATACACACAACCAATCAAACCTATATGTGATCCAGCGCCTTCCAGAAAACAAAGAAAACACCAAGCTAGACGTTTTACACTAACAATCTCGTTGTTCCATTTTGAAAAGAGGCAAATGCCTTATCATTCAAGTATATGTACAAGGTATAAACTCCTTTCTGACATAATTTGTGTACATGTAATTTATGTGGTGTCATACATTCCAAATTCACTATAGTCACAATCTAAGTGAAAACAAGTTGAATAGTTTGCATGTCAACCATTTGGCATATTCTTTAAGAAGAATGAACTGGACCAATTAAAATATATGTGCATGCAACTGCTTAAACTTGGTGTTAATCACAGTTTATTTCTTTTTCGACTTAAATTTTCTTGAACATCCTAATTCTTTTCGTTTCAACAAAACTATAATGCTCTTATTTCTCAGAGCTAGCATTGGATTAAAACCAAAAACCATATAAACAACCAGAGTCATCCCAATTCGGGCTAGAAAATTATTAAACCCTCATTAGAAACTTTCTTTCTTGATGCCTTGCAGAAAAATAATAAGAGTAGGTGCTTTGCATTCTTGGGGTGATATGCGTGCCGAATTGTGTGTTCTTGGACATTAATCCTCAGCCTCTTGTTATTTACATAAGTTACAAACCGCCCAAAGACACTCGAACACATCACTTTATTGCCTTCAAGGAAGCAAAAGAAGAAAAGAAAAAAGACAACAAAATCAATGTGCGCAAGGGTAAGGATAGGGAGATTAAAATTTTAAATTAAATTTTGTAAAGTAAATGATAGAAGTTGATAATTAGATTATTACTTAAGTGTTCATTAATATATTTACTTTTTATTGATGACACATCATTAGTTTGCAAATTTAGTTCAAAAAATTTAGTCTCCTTAGCTTTTAGACAATTATTTTTGTGGACAGCCAATGGAAAACTGACACGGTGGCTACTTCGGGAAAGTTAGGTCAAAAGGTTGAATAATGTTATGAAGATTAAATTTGTAGACTAAATTTGCAAGCTAAATAATTTGTTACTAATAAAAAATGAGCACGTTTATCAATCCTTAATAATAATTCAATCATCAACTTTCATATCATTTAATTTACAAGTTTAGTTCCCTTAACATTACCCCCTAAAAGTTTGGTTCGGTTCACACTTTGGATATTTTGGAACATCGAAATTTGAAGATGCTTTGTTCACTGTGTTTTAAACGTGCGGATCAGAGGATGACAATGAAAGATCAGATGCAAGAGCTGATGGCCCTGGTGAAGTATGACTTATCAATGAACACGTTGAAATATGGATACACACATCATCACACACTTCTGATTAAACTAGTAACGGTGTATTGTTATTTCCATGTGATAACATGACCAAATAGATAATCTATTCGTTTTAAGGTAGTTATTTTAAGGTTTTGATGTGTAATAAAGAGATCAAGTTCAACCTCGTAATTAAGCATACATCAAGAAAATTCAATAGAATTAGCAGTAAATAGCAATTACAAATAAAATTGATATTTGACCAACTACAGGTCACAATCCCAATCGTCCATTATCTTCTTATTGCCTGTATCCTGAGTTTCTTTCCCCTTTCCTCACTATAAATACTTGACCGCCAACTCCCCAATCCCACAAAGGAAAAGGAGAATTTCCACCTCCTCCCAAAACACCACCACAAAAAAGGAAAGAAAAACAACCATGGCTACCACCAAGCTTCTCCTCTCCCTTCTCCTCCTCGTTCAGCTCGCCGCCACTGCCTACTCCATCGGCGTAAACTACGGTACTCTCGCCGACAACCTCCCGCCCCCGGCCCAAGTCGCCAACTTCCTCAAAACACAAACCAACATCGACGCCGTCAAAATCTTCGACGCCAACCCCGACATCATCAAGGCCTTCGCCAACTCCAACATCTCCTTGACTATCACCGTCCCCAACGGCGAGATCCCAAGCCTCACCAAGCTCCGCACTGCTCGCCGTTGGATCATTGATCACGTCAAGCCGTTTTACCCTGCAAGCAAAATCAAGTACATTGGCATGGGAAACGAGGTCCTTCACTGGGGGGACGATGCTCTCAAGTCGAGCCTCGTCCCTGCCATGAAGACTTTGAACAACGCTTTGGTCCTCGAGGGGATTAAAGACGTCAAAGTCTCTACCCCTCACTCGCTCGGAATCATGTTGGCCTCCGAACCCCCCAGCATGGGCAGGTTCAGACCTGAAGTGATTCCAATTCTGACCCAAATGCTCCGGTTCTGTAGCCAAACCAAATCGCCTTTCATGGTCAATCCGTATCCGTACTTCGGGTGGTCACCCGAAAAGGAGAACTACGCTCTTTTCGGACCAAACGAGGGAGTGCACGATAAATTCACCGGCAAGTTTTACACTAACATGTTCGATGGGTTGATGGACGCGGTTTACTCAGCTGCCAAGGCAATCGGGTTCAGTGACGTGAACTTGATTGCGGCCGAGACCGGTTGGCCTTCGGCTTGCGAGTTCCCGGTTTGCTCGGTTCAGAACGCTGTGGATTACAACCGGAACTTGATCAAGCATGTTGAGTCTGGGAAGGGTACGCCATTGATGCCGAACCGTAAGTTCGAGACTTACATCTTTGCTTTGTTCAATGAGAACCAGAAACCCGGTCCCGCCGCAGAGAAGAACTGGGGGCTGTTCAAACCGGACATGACTCCGGTTTACAATGCTGGGGTTATGCGCAATCAACAGGTTGGTAATAATGGTTCTTGATTAATCGTCTTGTGATTTTCCCTTTCACTTTTGTTACTTTATTAAGTAATGTGACATGGAATATTTCTGCACCTCACTAAAAGATGAAAAGTAATACAGTTCACAAAAATAATAATTGCAAATTCATCTAATTTATTGAATTGAATTGCTATGACTAAATAATGTGTAAAGTGAACCGATGATATCAGTTTTTGGTTTTATGAAAATTTGTAATTTAATGAATCAAGATAGGAAACAAATGAAACGTTGTCAACTGAATGGTGAACATAAAATTTTAGTTACTTCATGTTCTTTACTTGGGTACATATTAACGAAATTATTCTTTAACAAATCGACATTCTAACGATTAGAAGTTTGAACTTGAGTATAATAGAACCACATATTTTCTTAATAATGTGGCTTAATTCACGTCTGCATTGACAATATTATTATTACAATAATAATGTCTTATGCATACTAAATTGTTGTATGATTTAGGGTGGTGCAACTCCTGGACCAACAATGAAAATTCCAACACAACCTTCTACACCAGCCGCACCAAAAAGCGGGAAACAGGGAAAGCCTGCCAAACCAGCAAAACCGGCAACACCGGCAGCAGGAGGCAACAACAGCGGCAAGAAGTGGTGCGTGGCAAAACCAGGAGCCACGGACCAAGCATTGCAATCAAACATTGACTACATCTGCGGCACCGGCGTTGACTGCAAGTCCGTTCAGCCAGGCGGCGCTTGCTTCGATAACAACGTTAGGGCCCGTGCGTCTTACCTCATGAATACATACTACCAGGCTAACGGCCTTCATGACTTTAACTGTGATTTCTCTGGGTCCGGACAAATCACCACCACTGACCCAAGCCGCGGCTCTTGTAAATACAACGCTTGAGCGGCTGAGCGGAACGGAAGATATGATTTTTTCCAATTTGGGGCATTGTTTCAATGGCCAAGAAATTGATTAGGAAAATATGTTTGAACAAACAACTTGAAGAAACCCTAAACGAATACCACAAAAGCCATCAACACAAATCTGTTACAAAGATAATAGATGCAACATATTCATATTGTCAACTACAACTGGTCATCGCCGAGGAGCGAGGCCACATAAAGTTATTTTTGGTAGATGAAACTGTTAGAGTATGAGTGTGATTCTCACAGTTTAGTAATAATCATTGTTATTTCAGATTGGTATAAAGAGGTCTTAATGTGTTTATAAGAGTTAATTCGACTTTGGTTTGGATTGGAACTCTATTGTTGGCTTGAGAATAGAACTCATACTTGTACAAGGATTTGGTCTTGTATTCCTTGTAGGATTGTAATAGGGCAATCTATGTTTAGTATAAAAACATAAGCCACTGCTCTCACAAAACATACGCTCAATATTGAACTAAGACCTATTGTTAGTTTGAGTACTTTTGGTTTTGCAAGAGAGGAGAAGGTGCACTGTTTAGAAGTTTGCTTTGGCTTCCACTGTTTTTTACGATCTTACAATACAACCACCACGTTACGGCATTCACCACAACAAGGATCAGACAGAGGATGAGCTGTTCTACCATTATGAGCATAATGAGCTTTTGAAGTCGGTCCAAGAATGGATAAAAGAAACGGCAGAGTCATGCTCAACCGTAGCGGTGCTAGTGGCCACTGTGGACTTTGCGATCGCCTACGCTATCCTACGGGTTAGTTTGTTATTGTGTTTATCGAATTGTGATTTTAATGCTTGTATAAATTTGTGGTTCATGAGTTTAATCTCTTAACTTATAAATTGGATAAGTTTAGTCTTACATGTGGTATCAGAGCCTAAGGTTTTTGCTCTTGAATTCAAATTGACGGTATTAAAATCAAAGCAATAATAGGCGTGATGGTTTAGCCGGAATTGATCTTGGTTTGCAAAGAAATTTCTAGGGTTGCTGTAAGGGCCGAATTATTTAGTCGGTCAATATTGTCTCTTTTAAAAATCTCCGGATTGTACCCATCTTTGGACATTGATCTGGCCACAAAACCACCCGACACATTTATAATGTTTTTGTGAAGATTAATCTTGTATTGCTGATACATGTCCTTGGGATCAAAACGTTGCGGTAGTACATCGTTTGTGCAGCTGTCGAAGTAGCATGTTTCCATGTCCATGGAATCCTCGTTTGCACTTGTGTACCCTTCCCTGCAAAACAAATCATGCTACATGTACCCTTAAAAATCTGCAATGTTGCAGCAAACTAAGTCTTTTATATCAAGTCTGTCTATTTGGTTTTCGAAGAACAACTAATACGACATCATTTGTAGCATATCCTTTAAGTTTAATTTATGCCCGTTGGCTGCTTAAAAGACAAAGAATAGGGTTTTGTCTTTTCAAATTTTTGACCGTTAGCAGTCTGAACAAGGTGAGAACTTGTGATTCTCGATCTGGGTTGGATATTTTCTTCCCACGCCTGCATAATTGAAGATATATGTATCAAATTAATAAGTTATATCTCTATTTAAACATCATAATTTTGATTTTGAATACATTGCTTCCGCTGCAGTTGGTTATGATGTTTGTAGATTGAGATAAATTTTGGTTTATTAATCCTCCTTGTATTATTAGCATAATGAATAAACTTGTATTCTGATATACTAATTGTGTTATTGAACAAAGATCATGTTATCTGCATATTGAGATTATATTATTATTTTGGTTCTTCATGTTGACGTTAACTCGTTTGTCATTCTATTGTTGCAATGGTACGAGGTCCATGGGAATTGGGAATGATGGCAATCCGTATGGATGGGTCTTGAGCATTAATGGATAATTTGTTTCGTTGATTTGGAGCCGAGGAATTGCAATTGGGTTGTCGAATACAAGTCCAATGATGCATTCAGGTAACTCAGTTCACTGTTTCATGCATAATTAATTGTTATCCTATATGCGTGATTATAGTGCGATGAGTTGGAGCATAATGAATTAGGGCTTTTGCTATTCCGAGTATGCTTGTTTATTGTGAAGGCACAATTAAACTCGAAATCCCTATAGATGCCAACTTATGATTTATGTGAGATGACTGGAATCATTCTTTCTGCATAAAGATTCATTACACTAATATTTGGTGTACACATTGCTCTTCTATTTTTGAGTTAGAGCCTGTGTAATTAGATTGGGTGGAAAATATTGTTTTGTTGCTATTTTGTAGTCTCAAGCAGATGTAAGATTTCTCATTAACTTGCTTGAAACTTGGAAGCTTGCATCATGATTTTCCATTATGAATTATGATAATAGAATTTGACTTATTGTTGCTACCAAATACCTGTGGCTTTTATGTGGGTTTGATTGGTTTAAATTATTCTAGAAAAGAAAAATTGGATTATACGAGTATCCATAATGACGTTTTTAAATTATGAGTGTAATTCATATCCCAATTTTGGTTAGACTATATATAATAGGTTTTGGGGGTGTTATATATGTGAATGATGTAGTTCGGAATTTTTGGGTTCGTTAATGCCAATATGTGCAATGTATAACCAAAAACATGTGAAGGCTCTTGTGTTAGTACCTGTATGAAATGATATAAATTGTTTAGTGAAACCTTGTTGGCAAGAATGTATTCTGAAACTCATCTCACTTGATATATTGTAAGTGTAAGAGATTTGATATTATGTATTAAATCTATAAGTACACTAAATTTTACTGGATGTTCATCTTGATTATCTTGTTTTAATCAAGATGACTTGTGCCTTTATATCCAGACATTATCAAATTTTAGTTGATCTTGCTTGATGGGTATTGAACTAGTTAGGATCAAATTGAATGCAAGAATATTGTGCTTGCTATTCTGATTTTGATTATTGTTGAAACTGGTGATTTTGGGTTTATGTGAGATAAGTTTTTCCGAATGGATTGTGACTATCTTTTGATACATAGACTGTTTGCATAATGGTTTAGGTGTATTTGACTAAACTGAGATTATGCAATTGGTAAGGAATCGGGAATCAATTGGTTCATATCTCCGGTTTCTTTATTGGATGTGCAGTACATTATGCTTATGCTTAAGTGGGAGAATCATATGTTCGAATGTAAGCATAAGGTTATTTAGGCCGGCCATTATAATTCTTATGGATGCTTGAAAACCAGATTATGGTTTTATTGAAGCAATTGGTAATTATTTATGTTACTTAATTTGTTTAAGTAATGAGAAGTTTAGTGCTATTTGCTGGAACTAAACTTAACTTGATATAGTGGGAGCAAAACAATTTATGTGTTTGTTCTGGTCAAGTAAAATCACATTGTTGTAAATACAAATTGGATGAATGTGATCATGGAATTTGTTTGCATATTGGTTGCGGCAATTGATCACATTGATAAGACATTCAGTGTATTGCAATGACTGTTAGTTAATACAGTTGATATTAACTTATACTTAACTTGTTTGTGTTAAGTATAGCCTAGATAAGTGGGAGCAAATTGGTTTGGTTTTTGCTATATTGGTTCACATAATTACAAAGTGCAAATTAAGTATGTTGTGACTTTTGAGTTAATTCAGCGATGTAACAGAAAAAAAAATTCTTAAATTCAATACTTTAAAATGCATGGGTAAGTTGTATGTGAGGTTAAGCTTTTGTTATCCAAAAGATTTGGTGGCTATATGAGTGGGAGTAGACATCTTGGTTTACTTTTGAGCTTAGATACATTGATATGAACATGAACTGGACATTGTGATTTATAAGTTAAATCTGTATTTTGTGTTGCAGAGGCAATTATAAATTCATTGTTTTGGTTTATGTAAGCTGGTTGTATCTATGTACTAGTGTGTTGATAAATGACTTATGTGATCACCTTTATATTGAATTTGAGATGATTATTTACTGTTGTGAATCATACTCAAGTGGGAGAATGTTAGAGTATGAGTGTGATTCTCACAGTTTAGTAATAATCATTGTTATTTCAGATTGGTATAAAGAGGTCTTAATGTGTTTATAAGAGTTAATTCGACTTTGGTTTGGATTGGAACTCTATTGTTGGCTTGAGAATAGAACTCATACTTGTACAAGGATTTGGTCTTGTATTCCTTGTAGGATTGTAATAGGGCAATCTATGTTTAGTATAAAAACATAAGCCACTGCTCTCACAAAACATACGCTCAATATTGAACTAAGACCTATTGTTAGTTTGAGTACTTTTGGTTTTGCAAGAGAGGAGAAGGTGCACTGTTTAGAAGTTTGCTTTGGCTTCCACTGTTTTTTACGATCTTACAATACAACCACCACATTACGGCATTCACCACAACAAGGATCAGACAGAGGATGAGCTGTTCTACCATCATGAGCATAATGAGCTTTTGAAGTCGGTCCAAGAATGGATAAAAGAAACGGCAGAGTCATGCTCAACCGTAGCGGTGCTAGTGGCCACTGTGGACTTTGCGATCGCCTACGCTATCCTACGGGTTAGTTTGTTATTGTGTTTATCGAATTGTGATTTTAATGCTTGTATAAATTTGTGGTTCATGAGCTTAATCTCTTAACTTATAAATTGGATAAGTTTAGTCTTACAGAAACTACATACATTATCTAGCCATTACTAAAGCACGACCAACCCTACACCGAGAAGGGATCACCAAATAGCTCATCTCCCTCTTTCCATACTTTATATTAGAAAACAATGAACATAAAGCAATCAAGGGTTACTTCTTACAAATCTGCCTAAAACCTTAACAACTTCAAACTCAAGTAAAAGCAACAAAACGCATTTTGGGCTGTGCCAAATCCAGTCCTCAAATCGTATTCTTAAGAATAGGGCGGGCTGTTGCTGCCAGGCCTAGACTATTGCTACTAGATTTATCTTTAGGCTGTGACAACATTTAGACCAAAAGCAACAAAAAGAAAATATAATATCAGTTATTTTGCGAATGATATGAAGTAGGGTTTCGGGAAGAGAGTTTAAGTTTGAATTATCATGCAGAAAATGATAGTTAATATGAGTAAAGATAACATACAGCTTACAAACCTAAGACCGTCTTCAATGGTGGGCTAAAACCTAAAATTTCCCTTCCCCCCTAAATTCACTCCAACCCATGACCTAAAATTAACCTAAAACCCAAATGGATGGCAAATACCGGCCCAATTTTAGGCCATAAAGCAAAATGGGCCCCACCAACTGAGACTAAAACTGGGGATGTGAAGCCCACTGCCCACTCCCTACTCGCTAGGCTTTCTCAGAATTTTGTAACAACCCATGTGGGGCTGTTCCCCCACTGTTAGACCATCAAGTAGCCGTTGGGCTACTTTTCTTCATCCAACGGTACCATTTAAATGGGCCGTTGGTTAATCCAACGGTCTAGGTTCAAATTAAATTTTTTTATATTTTATATTTATATATTTATTGAATCCAATGACTTAGATCAAATATAATCAAATCTAACGGTAAAAAAAATCTAAGTTTATGTGGTTTATTAAATGTCGTTTGTATTAAGTTTATGTGGTTTATTATGATTTTTCAAAATTTATCAAAATTTAAATATTTTTAGGTTAAAATGTTCATATAATTAATTTAGGATAGTCTACATATTTTTTTTTAAAGTTAATTTTTAAAAAAAAAATTGCCTTAATTCATTCTTTGATAATATCGGGCTAAAATTTTAGGCTAGAATGTTGGAGCAGAAAAACTATTTCTGGGCTAAAACCTAAATTTTCTGGGCTAAATATTTTTAGGTTTTAGGTCACTATTGGAGATGGTCTAAGGCCCCCTGATAACGACATCCAACCTGAAGACTATATTTTTGTCTTTGTATGGTGTGTTTATATGAATCATACAAATTCACTAATTACCTTTAACTGAATTATTGCTTTCAAATTTCTTCTCCATGTTGCCGACGTCGAAAGACTGACATCGAAGGATGGAAATCTAACCTAACATAAAGTCAGATAAAAAGTTGCACACATGAATTTTCAGGCTACATCGGTGCTATATAATGAACAGTTTATATGTAAGTGGCCAGTTGTTTTCTGGATTGATTGTTACTATTATTGGTTGGTTTCTTGTCTTTTAAGCAAGTGTAGACATAAAATGCTTCTTTGGTAAGTCTCAATTAATCTGAGATGACTTTGTTACGATTGTTAACTGCATGCCTCTCATCATTTCTCTTCCACAGGATATATGCTCATAGCTGGTATAGTACTCTTGCAATTGATTTACCAAATAAAATAAAACTATGAGGACCTCCAGTACACAATCTTATGGTATCACATGTTATGCTTCATGTTTTCTGTATTTGTATTGTTTCTTCTTTTTTTTTTCTTTTTTTTTCCTTGTCTTTTAACATGTAATATTTCTTCACATACATTAATTTGGAAAAAGAGAATATAAATACAGCATAATTCGAATCAGTACAGATATGCATCATGCAAAATAATTTCATCACAAGTATTTATGTGCACGCAACGTAAATTTGGATGTACTATTCCTATTTTGTTATATTCCTTATACATTTTTATCCAGTTATAGTACGTAATCTTCCTTATATTTCATTCCGAGAGAGAACAAGAATTTGAGTTTTTATATCGTTGTGAGTAGGGGTGGTTTTCGATGTATCGGATCGGAAACAAGTATTCCAATGCCAATCCAAAAAACTTTCGGAATCAAGTATTAGTTCCAATTTCAAAATTTTGGAATATCGGAATTTATTAGAAATTTCGAATCGGCTTTATCACTGAATTTTAGGAACATAATTCGGATCTCTCACATTTTGTAACACTTTGAAAATTTTCATATGTTTATGCATCTATCAACCATTCAATATTTTTTTATGTGTTTTTCGATATTTGTAGGCTGTTATGTGGGTGTATGACATAATTATATTAGGCAAAATAAAATAATATGTTTAATTATATTCTTCATTTTATGTATATTAATACAATTAAATATATAAAATACGCAATAAAGTATAACTAAATATACAATAAACATGATATGACAATAAAGCATACTTCGGATAGGATAAGTACATTCCAATTGTCATTTAATTCTTTGAAAATTTCCTGAATAGGAAATGTTCGGGCTCGAAACAGAAATTTTCGGTTAGGATTAGAATTTCAAATCCAGCTTCCACCTTTAGATGTGAGAATAGGTGCTCTATCATTGAAATTGTAGTAATAGAGTGATACTTAATGTGAGTCGCATATATACTTTGTATACATGAATCGAAGAATCAACTTTAACCCATAAAATCTCAATATATTCACTCGTAAAAAAAAACCGGGAGTGAAAATCATTACCTCAACGTTCATTCTTATACGCTCTTTATCTTTTTATCTTTTTCTTTGTTTAAAAAGTTGATGCACCATTGACAGATAGACTCCCATTTAACTTTTGATTTTTTTTTTGTTTGTAAATGTTTATACACGTGTTGTACTCTTTGTAGTGCTTCAAATGACAAACCCTTAAAAAAAAATTTGCTAGGCCCCCTTACTGCCTGTTGGAATATCTTGCAAGAGTTGTTGCCTTTAGTTGGTTGGTACTCTCAGAACCTCTAGCATATCTTTCCCATGAATTGATTGAAGGCAACGGTGACTTTGGTGGCTAGGAAACCACTTTAATTTAATCGGAAGACTTTTGGGTTGTAATCAGATGAGTCACATGAGGCAACCATACCTTATCTCTCTGCTACTTAAGGTTAGTATTCTCCATTGAGTATGAATCTTTCCTCTCATGCTTACAGAAGTTTTAAGATTGTCGTATTGTGAACTAATTTGTATAGAAATTATCTGTGCAAGACAAGCGTTCTTTGTTTTGTTAAAGAACTAATTTTATATCAATAACACTATGATACATTCTTTATTGATGCCTTATTGGCACAATATTAATAGTTTGTTCTTTAATTAAAAAATGGACATCCTAATAAAAAAAAAAACTGTTAATTTATGTATGTGAATCTCATATGCATTAGCAGGAAATTAGGGATTGATGATACATGAATTTGAGCAAATGGGTGCAATTATGATTGGAGGGGGTCTCAAAAACGTGGTCCTACTCTCACTTAGCTCATATGTGAAACATAGAGAGGTTAATCATCATTTACAAACCCAAAATCTTCTATTTAGTTGCAGATGTCATGATTCTGAATTCTGGTAAAAGGAGACAAAGATTAGCTGCCTTTTGGTTCAGAGAGAGTCAACTGAATCTAAGTAGATCAGTTTGGTATCTTACCAAAGCCCATGCCATCTACTTTGGTGAGCCAATTCCTATCTAATTCAAGGACCAACCTGACCAATTTCAACTCTGCATGAACATAACAGTGTAAAGAATGTGCACATAAATTATACATCTTACGTTTAGAGAAAGCATGTACAATAAAAAGCATGTACAATGTCTTATGGCATCATCAAACATATATAGAAAGCAAGGGATAAGCTTTTTTTCGGAGAAGTTGTGCTGTATCATCAGTTTTAAATACATGTATCTTCATTTCTCTTATCGCGTACATGATTAGAGAAAAATGTAAAGTAAGCTTAACCACCATATGACAAATTTTTATAATTTAGTAATGAGAAAAGAAGACAAAGTTGTATACAACCGAGTGATATAACATATTTACTTTGAATAATGATTATTCCGTATCACCCAAGAACCTCTCCCCTAGAAGGGGTCTCCATGTAAAAAATCAAAGACACAAATAGGACAAAAAAATGAAGTTTAAGTAATGAGAGAAATAGACACATAGTTGTATACAACTAGTGATAAACAAATTTTGATTATCTTGTGTCACCTAGGAACCTTGTCTAATAGAAGAGAGATTCTCTCGTGTCACATACTCACTATGAGGAACAATACATTTTTTGAACACGTGACAAACATGTATTTAATAATTATTTCGTTAAAAGTAAAACTTAGTTGCCTGAGAAAATCTTAGTGTCAGTGTAAAGGATCATAGATACATATAGGAGAAAAGATGAAGTGGCAACATCATCACCCATTTCATTATTCTTTCCATTGATTGAAATAAAATAAACAAATAACATTTATGTATAATATTGGATTAGCAGAACTAAAAAGAAACACAAAAAACTCCAATACAATATACCATCAAAACTCTGGATTGGTTTAATTATCATACACTAACAAAAACCCACCAAGCATCAACCACCAAAGACCCAAAATATTCCTCCTCTACAAACAAACCATGGGAGAGAAAGAGAAGAAGATCAGTAACAACAAGAAGAACAAGAAGCAAAAACACCAACACCCAAATGACCAAACCACAAAAACAGCCTCAGATTTCTCATTCAAGCCAAGCTCTGATGTCAAGGGCCTACGGTTTGGAGGCCAGTTCGTCGTCAAATCCTTCACAATCCGGCGAGCAAGGCCACTGGAGCTTTTCCAACTCCTTTCTTTCCCACCCAGCAAACCCAGCAACAATAAGCTTCCGTTTCCTTCCACCACAGCTTTTCTCCCCACAAACTTCACAATCTTAGCGCACCACGCCTGGCACACCCTCACATTAGGCCTCGGCACCAAGACGTCCAAGGTGGTTCTCTTCGTTTTCGAAACAGAGGGCATGAAGGCCGCCGTGGACCGCCTTTGGCCGCCGGAAATCCCACTTGGGGAAGTGAACAAGCGGCTCATCAGAGGGCTGAGTGGCTGTGAGATGGCTCGATTTAAATTTAGAAAAGGGTGCATTACTTTTTATGTGTATGCAGTTAGGCAAGTTGGAAACTTGGGTTTCTCAAGTGCTGATGATCTCAGAACAATTTTGCAGTCTGTGGTGGCGCTTCAAGATTTCTTGGATCACACTGCTATGCTTGCCATGCCTAACCAGAGATCCATTAGCTATGCAAATGCTCATCCTGTGGCCATGGCTCACTAGGAAATATTTCATATTTTTAACTTTTTTTTCCACGAACATTATTATCTTCTACTAGGGGTTTAATTTGCTTAATTGGGTTGTTGACCTTTTTTTTTTTGGGTTTTGTTATTATGATGGGGAAAATTGGTTTACTTGTGGAAGATATTAATTTGTTTTTGTTTAATTTTTTTGGAAGCAAATTGTGTATTTTAGTATGAATAATTTGGAATTCTGTTATATACAGTGAATTGAGCTTCCCTATATGTTCATATATGTGTTCACTGTATATGGCACGTGCTGCTGAAGAATTCTGAATTCAGCAGAGGTAAGTGACAGATTTTGCAACAGTTTTTCATTGATATTAAAAAATTTAAAATTCAAGTGGGTTCATGAGTTCCATCTTTGTAGTTAGTCCTAGTATTTCATAATTTAGCTCCAATTACATGAGAAAAAGCTGAAAAACTCTCATGCAACGCATTTGATATCCTTTCGTCTCTTATCACGTGGTGTGAGAATGTAACAAGAGATTCAGTGAGGGTACGAAACCTGTTGCAGGTAAGTTTTACTCAAATTATGGGAGGATTAGTTGAAGAGTTTGCACAATCATGAGTACCCTAGTTATATAAATATGGCTGATTCTGAATCCTGACACAGCTATTTAGTAAATTGTTCCCAGATTTTAATCCCCGTGAACTAAACATCGAAGCTACAAAGCCACACATCCTGCCCATTGGTCTAGAACAAAAATTATGTTTTTATATTATTATTTACTGCTAAAATTTCTTGAGAGGTTATACTTAAACGGTTCCTTTAAATAAATAAAAACCAATAATTTAGTAATTAATAAGTTCCATGACATGGTGCATGAATGATAATTGATGTGAATGTGATGAGTGATGAGGATGGTTAGTAAAAGGTCTGTTTGGCATGATTGAAAAAACAATTAAAATGGGGTAGGGTTTGAAGGGTTGGAGGGCCAACTTATCACCTCTCGCTTCTTTTTTAGCCTAAAATCAATCAATTTCTATTCTTGTGGCTTTAATCATGACCAGTCCTTGGGAGAGGGTCCATTTTCTCAACTACCTTTATTTTCGAAGGAATCATGGCCATCTATGTCCCCTCCATTGTTGCCAACTTGACTGCACTGAGCTGCTTTATGTATACGACTGCATGTACATTGTACATATATGCGTGGGGTAATAAGTATGCTACACCACCTTTGTGTTGGACTCATATATAATTAGGGCATAAGATATCATATGGTGTCACATGCAATATACTTCTTTATCCACAGAAAAATTTACATTCTTAGAGACTTGTTGCTTAGTTAAGAACGTAAACATATTTTGCAAACAAAAAAATAGCTTATCTATATTGTTGATGCCATTGGGACGACATTGTAAGTCAGTCATGCATGGTCATGCATTTTAACTTTCTTAACTTAAAACACTGTCATAATGATATCTCTGTTGCATGAGCGTCGATGTCATTTCTTCAATTCCACACTCCCATATGGCTTATTTATAATAATAATAATAATAATAATAATAATTAAATAAACAATATTATAAAAGTTTGGTAAAATTATTGCCGGTCCTTTGTTTGTTGTGGTTTTAACATCTAAACTTGACAAGCGTGTGGGGTTTTCATACTGGTAGACCTAAATTAGCCTGAATTGTTTTGTGTCATGTACAAGTTACAACAGATAACCTATGATGAAAACCAGAAGAAGTGGTAATTACCTGTTTGTTTTCTGTCATGTAGAAACATAGAAATGTGAAGAAAACCAGAAGAAATGGTAATTAGTTACCTGTTTGTGTGCTAATTTTTATTGGAACATTAGAGCAAGTCCACCCATTTTAGGGGCAAGGACAAGAGTAAGGGCAAGGCAGTGAATTGCCCTTACTATTCACTCTAAATAGTAATTGACTTTATGTGTAAGTCCATCCATTTGGAAAGAGAAAGGAAAAGGCCAATGACGATTTTTATTTACACACATATATATATATATATTATATTTTTAATGTTTTCTTGGTCTTATCTTCCACGTGTCATTATCGCCTTAGATTTTTTATGAGATTTTCAACAATTCTCATCGTGCCACATGTATTGAACTTCGTAAGTTTGTTAGTATGTTGAATTTTGTAAGATTGTTGAAAATTAAATATTGAGTTGTGTTGTGGTGTGAGTCTATAGGAAATAAGGAAGATAGCTAGGTATTTATAGGGTATTTATATTTTATTGTTTTTAGATTTTTTTACCATTGAATTAATCATGGCCGTTAATTTTCAAAATTATTGCAGTTGGATGCCCTAGATTTTTCCACGTGGCAGCTATAGAAGAAAAAGTTGCAATTTTTTTTACCATTGGAACTAACCATTGAGAATCCAACAAATGGCCTAGGAAAAACGATCTGTTTGGCTTAGTGGTGCGCAGCGCGGGGGCACGCCTTTGCTGCGTGATGTCATCATCGACATCAACCACTGGCAACGAGCTCAAGGCCCGGCAATTCTTGCCTGGGCAGTCTAATCCGGCAATTCTTGCCTGGGCAGTCCGACGGGCTATTGCCATCAAACCAATTGCCTCCTTCATTTTGGAGTGGTGGACCTCATTTTGTTGGGTTAGTCCGCAAGCTTCTAAAAGTCAACAAAGCACTCAAACCAGCTTATATATAAAATGACCAAAGCAAGTCCTTGATTAGTTTGTAAAGATAGTTCACAGCCATCTAAAAGTCATGACAACTCAGGAATCAGTTAAAGAACAAAAGCAATGAGTAGGTTACAGTAAAAATGCAACATTTAGACTATCTAAAGGTAAAATATATGTGAGTTGACGACCTAGACCTTATACCGTCACAAAATCACATGAAGTTAAAAAGTATTTGGAAGAAAAAAATAAAAAGTATTTGGAAGAAAAAATAAAAAGTATTTGGAAGAAAAAAATAAAAAGTATTTGGAAGAAAAAATAAAAAGTATTTGGAAGAGCATACGCGAGTTAGATCATTTCTAGCATGATGGCCGGAAAAAAGAGAAGATAGGTGATGTTGTCGAACATGATTGGACAAAAATGTATGTGTAATTTTAGATTAAGCAAATAAATACTATCTGTTGATACGATGATCAAATGGAATTTAATAAGAAATTCAATAAAAACGAAACATAAAAAAAATAGAACGCCCACCGTGGGGCTCGAACCCACGACCACAAGGTTAAGAGCCTTGCGCTCTACCAACTGAGCTAGACGGGCTTGTTGAACTTGATTCCCTGTACACATATATGAAGGTCCAAGTTTCATTCGTCAAACCACAAATTGGCCGAGAGTCTGCAGGTGCAGGACTTCGTTTTTAACTCGGTAGGAAAGGAGCAGTGCAGCCACCGTCTCCACCTTTGGACCTGCAAAAATCAAACCAACAACAACAATGGAGTTTGTAATTGTATGGACAATGGTGGAGCTCCTGCTCGCCCTCATTCTCGTCGTCGCCACAGGTTTAGCTTCTGCCGTCTTTTTCGAAGCTTATCGCAGAAAAAACAACAACGCGTACGTTCTTCTATCAACTCTTCAATTCTCTCCCTCTTTAATCCCTGGAAAAGATTAGTTCTTTGACTTAAATTTGATGTATTTAATTTATAATTTGTTAGGCATGTTGGAGCTCCCGCGATCTTCGAGGACCCCAATTCATTGAAACAGGTACAGTAATCCAATTGGTTCATGGTTCAAAGTTCATTCTTGTCGCTTGAATTAGGGTTAGATGTTGATGCAAAATTTTGGGATTAGGGTTTTGCTCCCAAGGGTTATGCAAGTCAACCCTTTTCGATTTCAATTGTAAAATGGTCGTTTGATGTGTTACTGAATCTTCTGGGGGCGTTTGTGTCAGGTTCCCTGCCCTTCTATTTTTGATACAGCAGAGAAGTATTTATCTTTGATTATCCCTGCATTCAATGAGGAGCTTAGGCTTCCCGGAGCACTTGATGAAACCATGAAGTAAGTTGAAGCTTAGCTAATTGCATCTCACTTCCCCTGCAAAATGTATTATTGATTCGGTTTTTTCCTTGCTTCCTTGATCTGTGCCGTTCTAATTTGGTGATCATTGTTGATGGGTTGATGATAAATCAATCGTATTATATCGTAATGATATCTAAATATTACTTTGTAGTTATCTTCAACAGCGTGCGGTGAAGGATAAGTCTTTTACTTATGAGGTACTCTCTTGGTTCTCTCATTAGCTAGATCAACTGAATTCGTTTTTGACATCTTTTTGTCTAGCACTCTAGCTGATAGCGTAATGATAAGATGCACTTCGATAATTTTGCCCCCTGCAAGTACCTAGATATCCAAACCTTCTCTGCGAACTACTGTTAACTAAAAGCTTAGGTATTAGTAGTTACTGATTAGTAAACACTTAACTAAACAGTTATGTGCCTGGTTCTTTGTTCATGGCCTTTGCTTTACTTAACAAATGTTCTTCTGGACAGGTGGTGATTGTTGATGATGGAAGTGTTGATGGGACAAAAAGAGTAGCATTTGAATTTATAAAGAAATATACCGTGGACACTATGAGGATTATTCTTCTTGGTAGGAATCATGGAAAGGGTGAAGCTATCAGAAAAGTGAGTGTAATCTGAATCAGTCTCTTGTAACCATATCTGATGTTATTAAATGGCCCAAATTTTTTCCCTTGCGCGTGACGATAATTGATTGAAGCTTTTTACGTATGTGAAAGCATTGTAAAACAGGGAATGCTACATTCACGTGGTGAGCTACTTCTAATGCTGGATGCTGATGGAGCAACCAAGGTTAATGATGTAGAAAAACTTGAAAAACAGGTTTGTACTGAAGCATCCTAGATATCTTTTTTCCATCCGACATTTGCTTCCAGTTGTTAAAATTCTAACAAAGCTTCTACATACTACGTTATGTTTTTCATTCCAGATCCATGAAGTTGCCAAACAGGATAAGTTTAGGGACTCATCTGCGGGTAATTCAAGTTTTAGAATATCTGATATCCCCATTGCTGCATTTGGTTCTCGTGCTCATCTTGAGGGGAAAGCCCTGGCTACAGTTGAGTTTTGCTTATCCTGCTTGCAGCAATATTTAATTTTAATTCTTCTTATGCTTAAAATATTTTAACTGAGCCAGTTAACTTAATGTTTCAGAGGAAGTGGTATCGCAATTTTTTGATGAAAGGTTTTCATCTTGTGGTTCTTTTGGCTGCTGGTCCTGGAATTCGGGATACACAGGTCTGACTTTTTCCTCTGTTTTACATATATGTTTCTGTTTTCTTGTTTTATTTCTTCTAGTTTGAGCTGGTTACTAGGTTTTGCCTTTTGTCATAGATAGCCTACTAGTTTTTAACTAAGGCACTGCCATTCTGACATGGTATTCTTCGTGCATGACAGTGTGGGTTTAAGATGTTCACTAGGGCTGCTGCAAGGAAGATTTTCACTAACATCCGTTTGAACAGGTAAGTCCACATTGGATTGTATATATGGCATTTTGTTTGAACAGTTAACTGCACTTCAGATGGAAATTTGAAATAGTTTATGCTCACTTCTGTTGCTTCCCAATTAACATAAACATTATTTTGCTGCTCCAAGTTATGATTCATTGAGTGCCTTGTAGCTTATGCTGTTTAGAGGTTTGGAAGTTGAAGGCTGTGAGTAGACATATTTTCGGAACTTTAAGATTTCCAGGTGGCCATTCGATAGAGTTTCTCCATCTTTTAGAAAGGAAAACTAGAGTTTAGAAGATAGTGAAGTATTCGGTATGAGAATAATAAATGCATTCATAGGGTAGCAGACATACGATTTATTGTATCTAAGGAGGTTTGGAGCTTTTACGTGCTGGTATGGCCTGGTTAGGTTCGTTTAATTTTGGCCTATTGTGAGTGAATGAATGGTGAATACCTTCTAGAGGATTTGGTAACATGTCGTAGGAATTGTATGCAGAATTTGCGCCATGTGGATTTTGTAATGGTGGGCGATCATGAAACCTGATAGGTGCATCAGTTCGATATTTTGATATGTTCTATGTTGGCAAAGCGACTTGTAGGATGACTATGATATTCTGATTTTCTGTGTTTATATGATATTGGAGATTCTCTTACTGATTGGTTGTGGATTTTCTGCAGGTGGTGCTTTGACGTTGAGGTGGTTTACCTGTGCAAATGGTTCAAAATTCCAATGCTTGAGATATCTGTAAACTGGTCTGAAATTCCTGGATCGAAGGTGAACCTGTTGAGCATTCCAAATATGCTATGGGAGCTTGTTCTCATGTCTGTTGGATATAGAACCGGCATGTGGAAAATTCGCAGCTGATTATACACGACTTATGCTTATCAAAAGCCAGCGGAAAGCAAATACTCCTTATTAGACTACTACAAGGCCGGTGCTTCTTTTTCCTTCCAAAGCCTTTGCAGAGAGCAAATATAGAGGGTTTTTATTTCAAAGCCTGTTTAGGCAAAGCCGTGATCTAACAACGGGATTTTAGCATGAACAATCATTTGCGGCGCTACTCTGTAGTTTCGTCTAATCATACATTTTACAGGTTCGACATCAGAATAGCGTCCCTTTCTTAATCAGCCCTTGAAAGTTATAAACTTGTACGTTTAAGAACGATTGGATTACATGTTAACAGTATATTACTTTTACGACGATGAATCGTCATGACTGCAAAACTTTCTGAAACAGAATCTGGCTTAGCCGTTTCGGTTTTATTGCACTCTTTCAGTGGCTTGAATAGTCACAATTTACAAGCTATCGCTTTTGAAAAGTTGTGATTTTCTGGTAAGGAGGAATGCCTTCGTAAAATGCAAAGAGCCCAAATATTGTTCGAAAAGGAATGCAATTTAGCTACGATACAAGTAGCCTGGCATGTGGCTAGAGTTGGGCGATTAATACACTAAAATTTGTGTAGAGGCATTTCATGTCCCTGTACTGCGAGGACAAAATTCAACAAGAACATCAAACTGAAATGCCATTGCTTTGTTCTTTAATTTTTTCAATATTTTTTATTGACAAATTATTGGTTATTTCGAGTTTGTGAGACCTCCCCTAAGAGACAAAAAATAAAAACACATTGGAGCTGCTGGAACAGCCGTCGGACGTCAAGGTGAATGAATGTTTGATGAGAAACCTAGATGTCAAGAACCAAAGTACCGCCGCAGCTGCCGCCTGAGATGGCTGAATATAGTTATCAAAACCAATTGCCACCACCGCCGGCCTTGCCAACTTATGGGATGGATTATGGTGATCATGGAGTAGTTGGAGCTAGTAAATCGTATTCCAAGTCCCTTTAGAAATTGGTCCGGATCGTTGGATGAGATATTCATCCAGCATCGGTGATCGACTGGTCATCACACTTAATTAACATGTTCAATAGCTAATAGATAATTAAGATTTGCATGTAATAAACAGTTTTATAGTGTTACTTCTTGTGTTGGTGTGTCCAATTAACGTGTTGGACTGAGATTTGATTGGGCGTTCACTCGGTTGGTCGGATGAAGATGGGAGCTCTTCTGTTGGGGTGAGAAGAGTAAACCATTACTATTTAATTTTAATTTTTTTTTTATTTTTGGTGCGAAGAGATTGCAGAGGGTTCTTGAGACAAAAGTTGTTTTTATTTTTATTTTTTGTTAAATAATGGAATTTGTTAGATTAGTCACTGACGGGGTTTGAACTCATACCTTTATGCAAGAGCTCAACATATTTTCACCATTGTGGTAAAGGATCACTTGCTCTTGAGACAAAAGTTGAGTGTGACTAGAAGGATTACGCGCACAGGAGCAAACGTTTACAATCAGAAGGATTAGTCTCTGTTGTTTTACCTACTACCTTCGACCAGGTCCAAAACCAGAGGCCAAAAACAAAATAATAGTTTTGGCGTCAAAACTATTTATTATGGGGATAATACTTTCCATCACTTGAGATGAGTTCATTCTCTCACTTGCAAATAACATTTTTCATTGTATAAATTTTATAAACGGAATTGTTCAATTTCCTAACCTTTATTTGGAGATTATTCCTACAAAAACTCGTTCGAATCCAAAATAGTTTAGTTATCCAAATGTATCAAATGAATCAATGGTATAGGTACCAAGTAACTATTAACAATGAGCCATTTCGATTTATTTAATATATTTGGATGACTAAACGATCTTAGATTCGAGTAATTTTTTGCAAGGACCATCTTTACATGAAAATTTAGAAGTTGAGGATGATTCTAATTATGAAAATTCTATAGTGAAATATGTTATTAGAAAGTGAAAGAATGAACTCATACCCTAAAGAGGAATGCAAGTATTATCCTATTTATAGGAGTTGGCCTACATTTTGGTCAAATATTGCATGAAGTCGACCTAAACAAGTTTCTAATGCACTCCTCACCAACGAAATTGAGAGTTCAAAACATGTTTTATATTGGTCTTAAAAGCATTCTTAATTAATTAAATTATTCTAATTCTTCTCATTACATATGCAGAAAACAACTTTCAGAGAGCAGTTAGGGTTTGTTGTGGTAAATGGAGTAGTTGCAGTTCTTACGTAGGTGCACATAATGCTCAGAATCCAATCCATATAAACAAACACTGCATCACCTAAGAAACATTCCAATGCATGCACGTCGATGGTTCCGACTTCCAGACACGAAAAATAGAAAACATGAGCAGTCCCTTGTTCTATGAACTGAAGAAACAAGCATCTTCCTTCTTGAAAGAGAAGATGAAAACCGCTCGTTTGGCGCTGACTGATGCAACGCCTGCAGAACTGTAAGTTCGTGTTTCATGTAATCATGTTTACTTAATGCTTAATTAGATTTTCATTTCATGGATTTAATTATTCATAATCTTCGTTATGGGACTGTAATTTTAATGAGAGTTGGCGTTCTTGTGGGTGGAGTTTATAGAATGACAGAAGAAGCCACAAATGAAAATCCATGGCCACCAGACACTCGTAGCATTGGAGTAATATCAAGGGCTGCCTTTGAAGTTGATGATTACTGCAGGATTGTGGACATTCTACGTAAGAGGTTTGTCAAAATTTCGAAGAGTGGGACTAATTGTCCAACGCCGAAATTGTTCTAAATTTAACCACCTACTAGCTCAACATGTGTGAGGTTTTAACCTAAAAGATCTCGGTGTATTTAGAAATAGAACAATTTATTATATATTGTAATTGTTTTGACAATTTTACTGACGGGGGATTTTCAACATGGTTAATTAGTTTTTTTCGTTTTTGATATGAAAGGAGGAATCGAACTCGAGTGCAAGGTTTAAATTAAGCTAACAAGTTCCTTCCCTTCTTTTGTTACCAAACTTCAGGCTGTTGAACTTCAATAGAAAGAATTGGCGAGGTTCTTACAAGGCTCTAATTTTATTGGAACACCTTTTATGCCATGGACCATTGAGAATTGCTGGAGAGTTTGAGGACGACAAAGATCTGATCAAGGAGATGGAAAGGTTTCAATATATTGATGAGAAAGGGTAAGTAGCATGTTTACTGCCTTAATCCTTCGTTATTAGCCGCATTCATCGTAATTGAGTTCGTGCTTCGGTTGCATGCAGGTTTAACTGGGGGTTGAGCCTCAGGAAGTTATCGAAGAGAGTACTAAAACTTGTCGAAGATGAGGTGTTTTTCAGGGAAGAGAGGGCCAGAGCTCGGAATCTAACGCGTGGAATCGAAGGGTTCGGGAGCCTAAGCCTGCAGCGTTCTTCTTTCATAGATTCAAGCTTGAAGGGCTCGTCTCTTAAAACATATGAGAGAAGTAATTCTCACTACAACGATCATCAAAGTCGCGAAAGCCAAGTCTTTGGCTCGAACAAGAAGTTTGTAATGAAAGAAGAGATGGAGAAACCGCAGCAGAACGATGATCACGACAACATCTCAGAACCTGAAGTGAATCTTGACGTAGGGGATCACCCATTTTGCCAGGATGAGCATCAGACGGCAGAGTCCCTTCTTTCTACTGTAAATGAATCTTGAAATCCCGGGTGCTGTGTATAAGATAACTTAGTTGTAAAGTTTTGATACACAGTTTGAATATACATACATGTTCAGCGACTGTTAATCCGGCCAAAAACCTAGTGATATCATCGGAAACACGATACTTTGAACAGATAAAATCAAATTGCAAGATATTAACCAACGAACCGGCAAGAGGGATCGCAGAATTATGAACACAGAATAGAAATAAACCGAAGAAAAGCGATAAAAACAAATAATAGCGATGGAATTGACCCATTTCAAAATCTGACTCCTAAGCTTCTCAAAGTCATAACACCAGCAAGTGAACAGCATAAAATGACAATAAAGATGGACACAATACTCTCCATGATTCTATTGTCTATAATTTAGAAGCATTTCCTATGGACAATAGACGGCCCAGACTCATCGTACTCTGCTTTTGCAATCCACATCTGCAATCAAGAAAACAAGCGGAAAGCTCGAATTAGTAATCATCCAAGATCAATTTGGAACAGGATGTAAAAGTGCAGAAATGAATACAAACCTGCTGGAAGGTACTAAGGGAAGCCAAGATGGAGCCTCCTATCCAGACACTGTATTTCCTCTCGGGTGGTGCCACCACCTTGATCTTCATACTGCTTGGGGCTAGGGCAGTGATTTCCTTGCTCATTCTATCAGCAATGCCTGGGAACATGGTTGAACCACCAGAGAGTACAATGTTGCCATACAGGTCTTTCCTGATATCAACATCACACTTCATGATGGAGTTGTACGTGGTTTCGTGAATGCCTGCTGCTTCCATCCCGATCATTGATGGTTGGAAAAGGACTTCTGGGCATCGGAACCGCTCTGCACCAATGGTAATGACCTGCCCATCTGGTAACTCATAGCTCTTCTCAACTGAAGAGCTGGTTTTGGAAGTCTCCATCTCCTGCTCATAGTCAAGGGCAATGTAAGAGAGTTTTTCCTTCATGTCCCTCACAATTTCACGCTCTGCAGTGGTCGTGAAGGAATATCCACGCTCCGTAAGAATTTTCATCAAGCTATCAGTGAGGTCACGACCAGCAAGGTCAAGACGAAGGATGGCATGGGGGAGGGCATACCCCTCGTAAATGGGAACCGTATGGCTGACACCATCACCAGAGTCGAGCACAATACCTTCACAGTAAAACCAGCACACCCATCAGCAGAGACGAGAATAAAATCATTTGGGTTGAATTAAAAAGTTATTTCAAAACAATCATGCATGCCATTCTTCGGTAATTGGACACAATTTCAAATTAACACCTGCAGTAGGAAAGACTAATCAATAAGCTTACCAGTTGTACGACCACTTGCATACAGGGAAAGAACAGCTTGAATGGCTACATACATAGCCGGAGTGTTAAAGGTCTCAAACATTATTTGGGTCATCTTCTCACGATTGGCTTTGGGATTCAGAGGGGCCTCAGTTAGAAGGACCGGGTGCTCTTCTGGGGCAACCCGAAGCTCATTATAGAAGGTGTGATGCCAAATCTTCTCCATGTCATCCCAGTTGCTCACAATACCATGCTCAATAGGGTATTTCAAAGTTAATATACCACGCTTGGATTGAGCCTCATCACCAACATAAGCATCTTTCTGGCCCATGCCAACCATGACACCAGTGTGACGAGGGCGCCCTACAATGCTAGGGAACACAGCTCGTGGAGCATCATCTCCAGCAAATCCAGCCTAAACAGTAACATGAAAACAAGCTTTAGGATACAATGTCCAGAAAAGAAAGATAAGAAAAGGCACACCCATCCAAACCATCTGCACATCAATTTTAAAATGACATCTTGCCAAACCAATATAAACATATTTTAATACCTTGACCATTCCCGTTCCATTATCACACACGAGTGGCTGAATGTCCTCAGCTTCTGCCATCTTCTTCTACCTGCTAGGTATACCACAATTAGTTACATCGGTTTCCTCCCCTTTTTGGCCTGCAATTGCCTCATATGACAAGAAAAGGAACAGACAACACAGTACACCACGCAAAATAATCCCAAATGCTTTACCAAAGTTTTTGTCTTGCAATAAAACTCAATGCTCATGCATAAGATACCACAAGTCTATTACATAAACAAACTTAAAAAAGGGTTTCATCGAAACAAAATGAAATATTGCTTAAAAGCAATGGAAAGACATTTAAGGAGTCTAGATTACAAGCGGGACACACAAACACCATAATGATTTAACATAATGCCGGCCAGAAAACAGCAGCAGAAACAGAAGTATGATTTTTCAAAGGAATGTTTGCAATATGTAAGATGCCCCAGCGGAATCAGCAAGTATCCACGACTAGTAAATGAACAATCTTATCTAAAACAATAACAAAAAGATCCAGACCGAATAGGATCAATGGCCAAAGGTGAAACATTTACCACCAACTCTCATTGCAAAACAAAACAAGCAGCAATAAGTTTGAGGCAGAGAGAAAAACTTAGAAAGACCAGATTATACGAGCTCTCAAACCATCCATCGAATTAACAATCAAAGAAGATACAAAGGATAACAATGCAGCTGCTAGTTAGCCTTTTTGTGTTCATTCATGATATTTCACATTATGTAATTATGTGCTCATTGTTTCCGAAATTTTCATATACTTAACGTTTGCTGCTAACCATTTTCGTATGATGTTATGCAATGATTCTATCTAATTATATACATATACATGTATATATATACATAGTGAGACATGATTCAATGAAACATAACGCATCAGTTGGTCACGAAAAGCAAATGGGCAAATCCCAAGTCACCATTTCAGCATATGGAAAATCGAAAAAAAAAAGTCTTTCAAATCTGAAACGCGATCAAACGCCACAACATTCAAAACCCAATAATCAAAAACTCCCAGAACAAACAATGCAGCAATGAAATCATCAAAAATTACACACATGCAAGCAAAAAACAATCATACAAAAAGGAAACAAAAAAAATCAGAGATCTAAAGCACCAGGAATCAGAGCAATAAACAAAGAGGGGTGAGAAAATTGACCTTTTTCTGCAAATGCGCAGAGAGAGAGAGAGAGAAAGAGACAGAGTGGCGTTTATTGTGGGCGAAGGAGGAGGAGGGTGGAGTGACAATAAGAAGGGAGGCCGACTTCAAATCTGGGCCGTTGGATTTCGATGGAAATGTTGAAGACTTCAGACCGCGTCCAATGGGTTGTGTTGGGCTCCATCGCTTTCTGCTCCAGTCATTTTTCTCATTTGGTTTGACCCTTTTGCCCCTTGAATTCCTATTTTCATCCTTTCCACCACCTATTTGCCATTTGACATGGAGCTGGAATGGTGGTGCTTACGTTATGTGAATTCAGTAGAGAGAGTGGGCCCCTTTCTCGGTTTCATTCTCCCGCGTTATGGTTAATTCGATCATTACTTGTGTCTACGTGACAACTTCTTAATGTTTTGATTTACATGTCTGACTCGTTAGCTTTAGACTTTCATTCTAAGTATAAGCCTCACCTCAACACATATAACTATCAACACATAGTATATGAGCAGACGAGCCTATTTCATGAGCTACGTAGTTTCATGAATGTCGTTTTTCTCAATACTAAGTCATTTCAGGCATTCATTTAAGTATAAGTTTAAATATCTTTAAATTAAGTTTTAAATCGTTGATTACAAGTGTTTAAATACGAATTATAATAGATTTTGCCTGGAAAAGAATATTTTGAAGAGCATGAATATGATAGTTTGTAATGTTAAGAGAAATAAAAGAACAATTAACAAAATGTACAAAAATGGCCACTCAGTACTATGGTCTGGTGATATTCCTCTTCACTTGGAAGTGAGGGGTCTTAGGTTCGAATCTCGTGGATGGTGAATTCGATCCATTATGTAGCATAGTTGGACTCCCCCTCCCCTTAGTGTAAAAATATCGATGTACTAAAAAAAAGTACAAAAATGATTCAAAATTTTTTGGGGTGACAGAAAGTCACAACTACCAAGAATTTGAATCACTTTTGTACATTTTTCTTATGTTTCTCTTCCCACTTCAACAAACTATCATATTCATGTTCTTCAAAATATAATTTTCCGTACGTGGAGCTCTACTCGTTTTCTAAGCACCCAGGAGTTTGCCTCGTTCTGCTTGCGAAGCCCGTCTCGTTTTGTGTGCATGCGTTTGCCTCGTTCTGCATGTGAGGTGTCTGCATCATTTTGCGTGCAAGAAGCTTGCCCCTTTTTTGCGTCCATAGAGCCCGCATCGTTTTGGCGTGCACGAAGCCAATCTCGTTTTTTGTGCGTAGCGCTGGCCTTGATTTATGCGACCCATTCCGCCTCGTTTTGCATGTCAAAATCCCACCCCGTTTTCTATGAAGAAGCCCACCTTGTTTTGCATGAGCTGAGTCCGTCTCGTTTTGTGTGTGTCAAGCCCGCCTAACACCCATATTTTTTGACAAAAAAAAGAAATTATTTCACAAAATATTTTTCCCGAGCCTCATGTTAAACTTTTTAAGGAATTTGGAAGCAGTTTTATACTTTATAAGGCAACAAATGTATATTTAGTAGAATATTTGAGTCGAAAACTAAAAATATAATTGAAAGACATAGTAATGAGTCCCAAAACATTGTCAAATGGGGTTCGACACTAGAGAATCTCAACTTAACTTTCAAAACTTCACAGTGAGGCGAAGGTGGAAATAAATAGATTGAACGATGATTTATGTACAAATTTGCAAAATCGATTGAAAACCAAAAGTGTTAATCCACGTTTTTTGTAAAAAAAAATGCAAATTTTTTATTTTCTTGAAATATTTTATTTGAGCATTAAGTAAATCTTTATAATGTATTTGAAAACGGATTTACTATTTATTGAGCAATAAGTGTATATTTAGTAGAATATTTAAGACGAAAAATAAAAAAATAAGTGAACAATATGAAGATGTTAAAATTTATATTAAGTGTATATTTTAAAAATTAGAGATGTTAAAATTACTTGTAGGTTTATACAAAGAACAACAAAATTTTGTTTCGTTAAATAGTGTTAATATGTTGTTTAGATTCAGATAAAAGAAAATTTTACAAAAAAAAAATTCAAGTATCTTCAAATTTAGGTTTTAA